AAACTAGTACAATCTTCTTACCCCTTCAGGTATCAGACTGCTTCTTCCCTTGTGTTGATGCAGGACAGGTTACAGGCTTCTCTTTTGAGTTCTATTATTGCACTTTCTTGTTTTCCTTTTTCCTTTCCCCAGTATGTTTCCCAAGGGCCTAGATGGCAAACTCTGCATTTTTCTTATTTTTTTTCCTGTTGCAAAGCTGCCATGTAGTGTCTGCAGTTAATTTGACATCTTACTTTCAACAAGTAAGGAGAACTTCTGAGACTACTCCTTCCAATAAATACTAGACTACAGATATAGAAGTAAGAATAAATTTATTTTTAAAAAATCTTGTAAACAATGCAGTGATGATTTCTTTGTTCTCTTTGTTCACTTTTTCTTATCTTCCTGTTTATTCACTTTTTATGTTTAAGGACTAGACTGCAATCTATTAAGATAATAGTCTGTTGTGGTGTGAGTGTGGGACTAGATAGGCTCAGGTACCAAGGCGCATTTAGTCATGAGTATTATATAATTTTATGAACACATACAATTTATACCTGTTCCTTTTCTGAGTTAAGTAAACGTGACCAGTCCCCTTAAGTCAAGACCAGTAATTTTTGTCCTAATTGGTAATTTAGATGATGTTTCATGATACTGAACCTGTTGGTCCCCCTACATTCCCTAGGATTTGTTGGTGTGGTCATTGTTATGAGTACTACTGCTGTTGGTTGACCCATTTTTGCCAATATCTGTCTGAAGCAGTATAAGGCACATAGCACCCCTCAATAACTGCAGAGCTTAGCCCAGCTACTCTTAGCCCATGAGCACAGGCTCAGGCTAACAAGTGGAGTTGGTACCAGGAATTTAGCCTTGTAATGCTATTGGGTAGTGAAGCCAAAAGATGGAGAGGAAGTGCCACCATCATACTGGGGCAGTGGTCAGCTTAGTTACCCCCAAGGCCATTATTGGGAACACAAGGAGGTGTGACCTTTGCAGCTCTGCCCAGCTTGTAACTATGGTCCTACTCTAAGAGAATTATTCTTGCCAAATTTAATGCTGTCAGCGTCCAGGTCCTGTAGCATGAAAAATGCCCACACAGGAGACAAGTCAGCACAGGGATTCCCCAGTTGACCTCCTTGCTATGGGGACAGGGCAGCCCAGGAGGACACTAGTAGGGTCATCACAGTAGTCTTACTGGTAAGTAGAAGGGAAAAGAACAAAATTAAAGCATCGGTGATCTGTCTCTTCCAACCTGTCCTAGCCATTGTGAATGAGCTTTTTTCTTACAACAGTTTCTACAAAACCTGAAGAACATGGTCTGTGCCAGGTGCTCCAGCATTTTTGCTATGTACTTCAGTTTTATGTTTGGAAGTAATATATGTATTAATTAATATTTTCCTGCAGACTGGAACAGAAGAGTAAAGTATTGTACATACAGAATCTTTTTTAAAAAATGTCTCTTTATATCAATGATTTTGGAGTTCTTCAAGCATAATCTCATTCTGCAATCCCCATAATGTATTATCCAAATAGATAGATAGATAGATAGATATACAGGTAGATATAATACTTTTTTCTAATGAGAGATCCTTTACCACAAGGGCCAGTCCTGGCTGTTAACAACCTGGTAATAATGATGTATCAGGTAGGCATTGGCATATATATTTGTATATAAAATCTTCCTAAAACACAGCAACAGAAAGAAGCACTTCAATTGCCTTCTCATGTTTCCCATTAAGATCCAGTTGTGCCACTTCATATGAACAAATACCAAGACACAAAAGACCTTCCCAGAGATAAACTTTTCTATTATGTCATTGTTTTTTAACAGAATCTAGTAGGTTTTCTGTGTAGAGCTGATACCTAAAAGATGGGTATTTCACCATATAGTTCTCCCCATTACATTTGAAAGTGTCATTCAGTTTGCAACTAATAAAAGTATAGATTTTTTTTCAGCTGTATTATTCATTTTAGCTGTTATGAACACTTGTTAACAAGTAGTCTCTTCTCTATACAGTAGTTGACATAGTGTTCTTTTGAATGGTGTCTGTGTCTTATATGGTTAAATTTTTTTGTCATATCTGCTTTTCAATATATTCCCTGTCTGGCATAGATCTTGGAGTTCCTGAAATTTTCTGCCTCACCAGTTGACAGCTTGCAAAAATAAAAGGTCTCAAAAAGATAGGAGTATTTCATATTGGTATCCTATCAATTACAGTTTTATTACTTATATTATGTCAATTCAAATGCATCCTGAAGTTTTATGTGGAATAGTACTTTGTCCTCTAATCTCCTAGAAACAGGAAACAAAATAGGCTGTTGTGCCATGGCAGATATATAATTGCTTCTGCTTGGTAGCTTATAGAGTACACATCGAGTGCTTTGGAACCCATGAGAACAGAGTTTCAAGAAACTGTAGGTACTATTAAACATAACAAAACACTAGTTACAAAGCAAAATAAAGTTAATTTTTAAAAAAATGTAGTTTCAGTTTTGCTGTACAGATTGATATTTAGTAAGACAGTCTAAAGGGTTTTCCTTGCCTATAATGAAATAAAATTACACAGTCAACAATAGCATTGTATTTTCTTATTTTTCTAACACTGATACAAATGCCTAACACTGATACAAATACACTCTAAAACCATAAGTAAACTCTTCTGGAAAGAAAAATTATAACTAGGCTGCAGGCAATGAAAAAGTGAAACAAGTTGTTTGTATGTTTGAGACATACACATTGGGTTTTCAGCTGCATATATGCATGACATTAATGTCACAAACAATTAGGTTTATTTCCCTACAAATATTGCAGTTCAGTTATGGCAAGATGTTTTGGAGTAGAATTTTCTTTCATAATTATGTACAAAGCTACTCTGGGTTTCAGTTCAAATTTCAGTCATGAAATTTTGTCCTTCCATAACAAATTCAGGACTGATTCAGACCTAAAGTCTATCAATCTCACTGTCTTTTTTCTGACAACAGCTGTTAAGGTTTCCTTAAAAAAGTCAAACAGGGCAAGCAAGTTATGCCTTTCTAGTCATAGCAAATTATATGTGATCACAGAACTGAAATAAATATGTGTAAGTGATCTTGATCATGATACTTAATCAAATATGTGTAAGTGATCTTGATCATGATACTTAATCATGATCAGCTTTTAGCATTTTCATTTGCAATTGGAACATCCTGAAAAGAAGAAAGTTTTTGCATTTTTTAAACATAGCCTTTACTAAGCTGTTAGAAGAATGTAGAAGTCGTTTGAGTTTAATTTCTTCTTTTAATAAGAGTATTTTAATATCTGTAGTAAGCAATGCTATGAACTATTAAAATAGAAATGTCAAGATTATACCAATGTTATGCATATACCAATGTTATGCAAATAGATTGCTTCATAGGGCTACCTATTAATCATACAAAAATGCATGTTAGCTGTATTTGAAAGTATAAGATGCCAGTAAGTAGTACCCTACTTATCCTTTTTATAAAAACAGCTAAAGCTATCCACATAGCAGCTTTCTGTTTGTTTTATGATCATGCTAAAGCAAACTAAAATTTGGAAATATTTATTTCATCATCTCCTCATGATGGGATATATTAGGATAATATATTTTCAAGGTGTAAGAATAGATGAATAAAACAAGAATTAAGTAAGCAGACAGCTATTAGTACCTGGAAAACATCTCTTGAGAATGAATCACTGAATTCAAAGTTAGGGATGTATTCTGATTCAGATCAGATCTGAACTTTGTCAGCAAGTGTGATAATTTTCAGCAGAAGTTTTGATGCAGTTCAAAATGAAGAAAAAACTTGTGAAAAAATTTGCATTAGCACGAATTTCAAAGAAACTGAATTTCATCAGCTGAAATTGAATCCTATAAAGTTTGGATATGTCAGGTACCATGTTCAGAATGCAGCAGCTTTCCATTTTCAGCATAGACTAGTGTACAGTATTCATGAAAATAGAAGCAATTTTGAAAAGGTATTAAATGATTCCAAATTGTTTTTATCATATGGATTATTTTTTTCCACTTAAAATGAAACTGAGATTTCAGTTTTATTTTGTTTCGCTTTCCATTGACTCAAATATGATTTACTATTACAAAATAATAAACTGTTACAAAAAAAAAAAGTTGTATATATATTAAAATAACTTGTCATTATAAGGTTATGGTCTTGACTACTGAAATAAAAATTTATATTTATCTGAATCAATGAAATTGTAAAACACCCAGACAGAAAGTATACCTGTAGGAGTAATCCTATATACAATTTTTAACGTACAGAAAAAGAAAAAAAATTTAATCTTATATGTTCAGAAATAACTGTAAAGATGTCATTCTATTCACTGCTGTTCAGCATGTTCCAAAAAAAGTTACCATCGACTGTGTAATTATTGTCAGCAGATGAAGTGCTATTATTATGTTGTCAGGCACCATGAGTTACACATTATTGAAACATCAAATTCAGCACACTGTTAAACATATGATAGGTTTCTCTAGAAAAATATTGATAAAGGTTTATCTTCCTTATGCACTTAAATCTGAACTGAAAAAATTAAACATTTGAAACAGATTATCACTAAAATTTTTGCAGCATATGGTACAAAAAAAAATACATAGGGATCTGAAGATGTAGACTAGAAAACACTGGTATTCTTGGCTGAGAAATTAGAACAAATATACATACACAATTGCTATGAAAATGCACATATATGAGCTCTTCATATAGTTTTCCCTTGTCAAAGGAAAAGTATGTGCAAATTTCTGTTCAGGAAGAATATCACTTGAGAGATAGAAAACCATACTGAAGTCTGAATACACAACTCACAAGTTCTGCTCTCTGTGATAAGGAATTAATTAAGTGCCTATAAATCAATGTTGAATGATACTTCAGAACTGATCACTTGGATTCTAGACTACTTTTAATTTTTTTTTAAGTAACTGAGACCCTAGGAACATCTTTTATGCTCATTCAGATATTGTATTTTCACCTAAATTTATTTTTTCTACGATTTTTTAAAGCACAGAACTGTTACACTTCATAGACAACCAGTTGGTGGCTTGGGCTTAAGCATAAAGGTATGGGTAACATCTATTTTCTTCTTTTGAATTTCAGTACAACCACCTCAGTGTTGAGATCTCATGATCAATATGTCTTTCTTACAGGGTGGTGCTGAGCACAAAGTGCCTGTCGTCATATCAAAAATATTTAAAGACCAAGCAGGTAACTTATGCTATTTACTTATATAGCACTGTAGTTATTATCAGGAATCTGCTTTTACTTCAGTAAGACAGTTAAAAACAAAATATTTAAAGTTACTTACAAAAACATATATATGACATGGGAAATCTATTGATGTACTTAACCTTTTTAATGCAAAGGATAGAAAAATGTTTTTTTCTCCCCACATGGTAATTCACTTCTATATGGTATGACTAGCTGTGCCTAGGTGCCTGCAGAGAGTGATTTGTAATATTTACAAATATGGTGAGGATACCACAACATCTAAATCAGTATAGTCTATCCCGGTTAAGTATTACATTGACATTTATCTAGCAAAAGGAACCTTTGGGAGACATTTTCAGACCTAAGACTGAACTTGGCAAGTTGGAGAATTGGTCTGGAAACTGAAAGGGTCTCTTTAGTGAGGAAAAGTTGCATGTGGGTGGGCAGTACCTTGCAACATCAACTAAGGATCTTAGATGTTCAAAAACTGAGTTATATTCTCTTCTCTGGTAGATGTGGACATGGGGGTAAGTTTGTTCTTTTATTTTCTGAGGCAATCTTTTACGTATTATAAGACCTGTTGTTTTCCAAAGCTGATATGTGATTCCTCTCTTCCCTAGTATAAATCTACCCATTTCATGTAACATTTCCTTCAAAAAAAGACAAAGACATAATCCTTAGTGCACGTCCTCCTCCTTAAAGATCTCAAAGCCACTGACATAATCTTTTGAACTGATCAGGCTCTTTTCCTACTTTTCTGTAATGGAGATGAAGCACATTTGCTTCACACCATGTTTAGACTCACTCTTTTACTAGGTCACAGACTGCGCTGATTTTTATCCTCTGCATCTTATATTTAGTGGATTTTATCCACTGCATTTTCCTCAGGGGGTCCTTTTTTAAAATGAATACCTGATTTCATCTGATATCTAGTGAACATTGAATGGATTGTCTATGCCTCTATCCTGTTGGAAACTGCTTCAAGTTTCCTGTGCACAGTACTTACATTTCTTTTTATAATATTGTTTCTGCACTGAGGAAGAGAAGGTGTTTTTATATCAATTATGTTGCTGTATATGGAATAGTTACATGCTCCTTAAATACACAGTATAATAAACCATACCAAGAAAATGTACATGAAAATAATAGTAATAACATAAGCATCCATGTCTAAGGAAAGTAATTCAGGAAATTAATCACCAAGGAAAGATATGTCCTGCTCTCTTAGAGCATAGTACTTTCAACCAAGGTTAGTAGTGAGTTTGTATATAGAATACTTACATTCAGAGTTCCGTATATTGTGAGTAGTTTTTCTTTTTCTGTATTTATTTGTAGAGTAACAAATGCAACAATTTTTATGGGGTCAGCTTTTTACTTCAAATCTGAAAATTACTCCTCAGAAGATTTTTCACAAACCTATTCAGTGTTACTCTTCTAGTATCATATATAATTGGAAATTAAGTGAGAGAACGTGTCTAAATTTATCTCACAGGTGACATTGAGGCAATATTTCTGGTTTTAGATTCTAGTGTTTAAATGCAAGAGAAAATAATCTGGTAATATTACTTAAAGGAAAATAAGAAGTGTTCTACAAATATGTGCATTCTCTCTCCATTTATATAATATATATAGATAGACATGCATACCAAAACACAGATGTATTTACATATAAAATAATATCTGTAAAAAGTTTAATGTAAGGAGAGGAACTGTTATGCACGACAGAGAAATGAGACCAGTACAGATTTATCTAAAATTAAGTTTTGGTCTGAAAATATTCATAATGTAGATAAATCACCAATGGACTTCCATTACACAAGGTACTAATAACATTGAAACTGATTGGCTGGCTTTAAGAGTGGCTTTTAGTTAAGCAGTGAGATTTGTTGCTGCTTCAAGTGAATATACTGAATTAAAAAAAAATTAAAAAGGCTTTTTTGTGCAATAACATTAGAAAATAAATCATTTACCTGATAAAAAAGAAATTTGTTTTCAGACATTTTACTGCTATCTCTACTCAAGTAAAATGCCTGAACATACATGAGTAAAATTCTCTGTATTAACTAAAGAGCTGATTTCCTAAAACGGCTGATAATTTGTGACAATTTTCATGAAATTTGATGCCTTTTATATGACAACAATATAAAATCATGCTTACAACCTTACTTTGTTTGTATATAGTACTATTTTTTAGTTCCAAATGCAGAAGCATAATAGAATAAAACAGTTGTTTCTTTTTTAGGTCTCTATAACCTTTGTGCTATTTAAATAATTAGTTGTCTATTTTTGTACTCTTTAATTTTTTTAAACATCAGATGAGTGATTTTGTTGGTACTGACCTAAGCATCAGCTGACAGCATTTTTGCTTCAGTTTTTGAAATAGGATGAACATTTCAATAGGATTACATTTCATTATTCCACAGAAGCACATCTGTAGCAGCAGTGCCTATAAATACTATCCTTACAGTTTTGACCTCTCAGCTGTGATCACTGTGTTTATAAATTTCAAATTAAGTTATTCTAGATCACTTTTCTTTCCTGAACAAATTCACTGAAACATACACAGAAACCCAGTTCAAGAGCATGACTTTACATTTCTGAAATGCAAGATTAATTGGTCACTCAGTGCTGAAGACTGGCGTCCAGTCTATTGCAAATCACAGTAAAAAATATCCTGAGTTTTTCCTGAGCACATCCTCCTTAACAGTATCAGAGCAAGTTTTGTTAATTCCAATGACTCATCACCAAGTTTGGCCTTTTACATTTTTTCAAATGCTTCTGTCTTCCATTCTAGCAAAGGTTACATTTTTTTTCCTACCACCAAAGCTTTTGCTAAAGTTAATTTAAAGTTAAAATGAAAAGAAGTTCTGTGCCAGACAGAATGAGAAAAATAAATGCAAACCTACAATGTTTAAAAAACAATGTGGAGTTATAATCTCAAGGGTAATGCGATATAATTAGCCACAGAATAATGTTTATCCCATAGGAAATTATTTTACTTCCGAAGCCAGGATTTTTTCCTACCCATATATTATATCATCTGTTGACTCAGGGTACTAGCAACATTGCTGATAATCTTCCAGATTACGAAAAGAATTACTGATGTTAAAACTTCTCAGTAATGCTCTATAAGCCTGATTCAGGCTGGTTTGGGTTTTTTTGTTGTTTTTTTTTAATGTAATTTAAGACTATTTTTTTTCTTGTGTTTTCCATTTGAAACTGGCTTAAGATGTAGTACACTTAAATATACTTATGTAGTACACACACACAGTACACTGGTGATCTGCTATTAGTTTCTAAGTGTGTATATTTTTATATATGTGCTATAATCATATTAACAATTTCTTTAGGGCAAATATTGTGGATTTACAGTCAAATAAATGTAGAATCCTTATCTACATTTTATCTTATCTATCCTTAGAGCTGTGTAACATAATGTCCAGAACTTGGAAAGGAATCATATCAGCCAGGTTTACTTGTTGTACTGTGAATCCATCAGATCAATTGAAAGTACTTCAGAGAATCTTCAGGTCCTATATATGTATGAAGTGTACAAGTTGTCATGTGTTTACATATTTCTCTGTGCATTCCCATTTTTCATTACTAAAGATTCTTCATGCGTTTGTGGAATCAAGATAGTGAAGGTTGTAAAAATGAATGGATTTTGAAATCTAACCTCATGCAATGTACAAGTGATTTACTGCATATAATACTGGAAATACTGATTGTTTCAACACCAAAAAATAAAGTACTGTTTTGTGTTGCAGAATTATCCAGTTAGCAATCACATTTTTATCTGATGCAACTTTTCATTTTGTGAGACCCTCTGCAATAATTTGACTATTGCTGCAAGTTCTGCTCATAGCTCGTGTAATATGTGGAGTCAGACAAGCAGCAATGATGAAACAGAGCAGTTTGTTCAGCTCATGAAGGGTGATGAAAATAGGTAAACAAAATTAAATAAATCCCAGTGGAATAGGGTTAGTTTGCATTGTGCCAATTTAAAAAAAAATCTCCCTTAAGAGCCAAAATTAATTAAAATCTTATTTTGAATGATTTTTCCCACTTTCTGTAACAGAAGCTGACTCATAGCTCACATTACACTGTGTTGAAAAATCTTCCGTTTTATGTTAAGTCCATTTCTAACTGATGCTGTATACCCTGGCAGGACTGGAATGAACTCCAGACATGCAGCAACTGAAACATTCTTGGCTTACAGCCACATGCTCATCAAACACAGACTGTGTCCAAATATCACATCCTGGCTGCCTGCATTCAGGACCATCTGGAGGACATGGCATCAGTTTGATGAGGGCTTTTAACAGTTTCACTTACATGCCAAACAAAGATGATTTGGTGTGAAATTGTATGTGATGCCTCCTCCATAGATAGGTTTCTGGGTTTTGGTTTTGGCTCTAGTCACCAAAAGGGTACAAGTACAATAACCCAGCCTAGTCTGAACAAGCTGGTGGGCATGATGTGCGATTGCACCAAGCTGCACAGTGTGGTTGTATCCACAGCTGATATTCTTAATCCCTACAGCTGGATTCACCTTAGTTTCCTCACCCTTGGAGGTTCATTCCACTGAGCCAGCAACCTCAATATTAAGGATGAGTTAAGCAAAAATAGAGGTATTTAGGTTTATAAGGAAGACAGAATGAGTAAGAAATTTGTTACGCCTTGTGCTAATGAAGGTAAAGGCTGAATACAAGGCCATCTTTGAACATACAGTCTCATTAGAACATAAGGCCTCATTAGAATACAAGACAGTTGAGGCTGGGTGGTGTTTAATTTTGGACATTATCTCCTAATATCACTTAAAAAATTCTTCAGATTTTTTTTATCATTAATCTTATTTTCTGTCAATCTTTTATTATCTTTGACAGTGTTATTTTTCTTTATTATTAGAAGGCTAATGATATATGATATGAAATATCATATGCTTATATGAAATAGCATAATGATATATATGCTATGAAATTAGCATACCCATTGTT